ACGGAGGAGATGCGGAGGTAAGCCAAGCAGGCTAGAACCACAGGTGTCATTAAGCTGTCCTCTCTCCGCGCCAAATCCCCCAATCACCTCTGCTACCAGAGCAGCCTTCCTTAACTGCCAACCCCCCCCACAAAAAAAAACCATCTGCCCCCTCAAACAGATAGCAGAGCTAGAGGAAGGCAAGGAGTGGGACTAAAAATGTCCCCAGTGAGGGACAGTCTGTTGGGGAGTTTCTTTGACCTGGTTTTGTTTGTTTGCTTTAATTCTGGGTGGGGCTGCTTGCCTTTTTGTCTGCATACCAACAGCATGACTTCACTGAGTGAATAGTCACTAATTGCCTCTGCCCAGGGCATGGTGTCAAGAGATCCAGTGGAGAACCGAGATGGATTCTGTCCCATGGTATTAAACTAAAGAAAACTTATACATAATTAGAACTTAGTAGATACTTAAAAGCATCTTAGAAGTGATGAGTGGAGTTAGTGCGATGGGTGTATGGAAGAGGAAGAGCAAATTTCTGGCCAGATGTTGAGAGGGAAATTAAGGACAGGCTTTAGAAAAGGTAGCCCTTGACTAAGAAATTTCACTGGGCGACATGGAGCCACTGAAGACTTTTGAGTTGGGAAGTAAAATATTGGCTACCGGGACAGCAGTGAGCAGGCTGGTGTGGAGAAGGCAATGCCTGCAGGCAGAGAACTGTTAGCTGACCACTGCAAAAGGACCCAAACTTGGGTCACAAGGAGATGTGCTTGGCCAGACTGCACAGCCAGCAGAGCTAAGTGTTGGTAGGGAGCACAGGAACGAGAAGCAACCAGAGATGTCCCGTGGTGTGTAGCCTGGCCGGATGGGAGGATGGTAGTGCTCTGAACACCAACAGTGATCACCGGGGAAGATAATGAACTATCTGGACACATTGAGCTTGACAAAGCTAGAGAATATCCAGTTGTCAGGAAGTCAGCAATGAGGCTCTGCAGCTCAGGAGAAGAAGCAAGAGGTCATTAGAGTTTCGTAGAAAGGGACATTTAGCACCATGAAAAGGACTTGTTATGGTTCATTTCCATTATAAAAAGAACCCAGAACCCCGCAAAATAGGCTCCCCTAGAGACAGTTCATTAGGCTTTTTCTTGGAGAGACGGATTTACTAAATAGTGTGAGCCTGAATATGGATTGATTTATAAAGCCATTTAAAGTCGGGGATACTATTCTAAAATAGCTTCTGAGATGATTTCAAAACAGACTTGACAATCTTTAAGTGACACTTAGGATTTGAGGTGATGGCCTCATTTCATCCATTTATATCATATTTTAAAATGTTCCTGCCTTATACTTTTTCAGACTTGTATTTTGTCTTGCTTGAATATTCTAGTTCCCGTGACTATACATTATAGAAAACTCAGAAAACAGAAAAACGTAAAAATACAAAGGCAAACCCCAGGAACTAACAACTGTTTTTGGTCTTTTCCTAATATATTTCTGTGACATAATTATACTTATGTATAATTACATACTTATTTATATGTATTCACACATACATAGACACATATATGAACTACAAAAACGATTATATAGATTTATGAACACATGAATTTTCTTAGTATTGTGGTTCACATGGTATGTTCTACTTTGCATTGAATTTTCTTCAGTTGACATTATATTTGAATATTTTCTATGTCATTAAAAATGGCTCAAAGGCTTCATGTTTATGACTGCGTAATATTTCATTACATGAGCCTGTCTTAACATGGAAGCATTCTCCCAGCATTGGGTAGTTCACCAAGGGGTGTACTTTGAGAGGATGAAGTACCATGTCACTTACACCACATGAGTCCAGAATGACCTCATCCTCATCTTCGCATTTTCCCACCACAATCCCTGATGTTGGGGAATCCAATGGTGTCAGGTCGCTGGCCAGTGTAAGAAGTGCATGAGGGATCAGAATAGTTAAGGCAATGAAGAATGCATGGTTTTACCCCAAACCAACTGTTTTTTACATCTTCTCTTGTGATCATTTTTTTAAAATCATTTTTGCCTCCTTCGCCACTTCCCACCTATCATGTCTGAATGCAAGCACATGCACACATGCACACACACACACACGACCTAAACATGGGAAGAGCTTCTTAAAGTCCCTGAATGGTATCCTTTTCATCATTCTTCAATATGTACACTTTGCCTAAGAAAAAGACCAAGTGTCTTAAAGGTAAGTAATAGGAAGTTACATTTAGGCCACAGTGCCTCCTACCCTTCTGTGACAGTGTAGTGAAAGGCCAGGGCCATGGCATGAACCCCTAGAGAGAGCAGAGCCCATGTACATGAGCATGCATTAACAACACTGGACAGAGCACCATTGTTTTGATATCTTTCTGTTTTCACAGGTGCCATAGAATGATTTTATGAGTCTTCACCATGACCCATGCCATAGAAAGACAAATATAGCTATAGTTTTGCTGAATCCAGGTTTAAAGCTCCTTGTGCAAATAAAAACACAATTTCTAAATCAGTCCAAAGCAAAGCCCAACATCTTGAATTCTATATACACTCCCTTTTATTTCCCTTCTTCTAGCCTGTTTTCTTCAATATCATTGCCTCCATTTTAAATATCATCAGCTGATAAATCAATTGGCAGAGCTCTGTAACAGTTCGTTCTAATATTGAGGATAACAAATCATAGCTATAAAACTTTTCAGAAGAGAAGACAACAAACTGTTTTTCATTTAGAAGGTGGTGTAGGCATGAGTAAAAATACTAGGGTTAGCTCAAATATAACTGCAAAGTCAATTTCAATGATTTCTTAATTAACTGCTCTTAGATGTATATCCAAAGTTATTAGAAGAACTTTGGAAGGTTGGAATTCTTTAAAAATATAGTTCTTTGAAAAAGAAAATTCGCTTAATTCTAGACACAAGAATTATTGGAAAGAGATCACATGATTATAATAAAAGATAGGATCAGTCTTTTTCAGTTTGTCTGTCAGAAGAAGGCAGAAAAGAAGGGAAGTTTCCCTAACTTGGAAAAACAGGGAGAAAAGTTTAACATCAGTACTCATTCCATTTTTCTGTGAGAGCTGTGGGATTTTGACTTTCCTCAAAAGGCAGCATCCGGTTTCATGAATATTGTTATTTTATGGGAATGCCCATCCATACACAATGAAAATCTAGCCATGAAAATGAGTACAAAAACTTTAATCATACAGATAAATATAGAAAATTTAGTCACGTAAGATAAACAAGTAAATTAGTATGCCAAAGGTTTTCTCTCTGGGAATAGAAATCTATCTTTCATAGCTTTGTTTCCCATTGTCTTTTAATTTCTCTCATGTATCCTCGTACCTTTCAGTCATTTCTTCAGAAACTACCCTCTTTATCACTCCCTCTTATTTATGATGATCTCCAGTCAGTGCTGTTTTTATCTGTCTGATCCATAGTATACCGAGCTCACCCGTTTTACCCAAAAGCTTAGATTTGCTAGCCATCCAAAAAGAATATATTACGTCATGCTATATCAGAGAATGAGATTAAAACTGAAGCCTTTATTTATTTATTTAAATACAAATATCAACATTTACATCAAATGTGGATATATAAATATACACCCATCCATCTCTCCCAGGGATACATAGAGAATACATGAGTTCCTTCCGTATTCAAAAGAGAGACTTCCTATCATCTGTCAGTTGCAAAATAAGTATCTTCTGCTCCTGCCCTACCATGTTCTGTACCAGGGTGACAGCTGTGTATTGAGCTCTCTGTCTCCCACTCCTGATGGAGGGTCTTTTATAAGAGCCCTTTTATCTGAGACCAATTTGTCATAAGTCTTCCACAAGCCAGGGGACGCTGCAAGAAAATCTTGCCAATTGGAAGCTTTAGTTGAAATCAGTGAGGTAGTTTAGTGTAGTTTATTAGAGTCCGTGAGGCCTCTGGGGACCTCCACACAGCCTATAGTATCATTTCTTGTGAATCCATTAGCTATACACCCTACAAAGTCATTTCTTATGGCTCATTTAGGCTCTATCTCTGAATCTCACGAGTTTCCCAGGGCACTAGATATACTAACAAGAGTCACGACCATCACAACTACCGCTGTAATATCGGTTAACATAATATCACATTACTATAGACCACAAAAACGATTTTTCATTTCTTTTTATCTATTTTAACTGCCCTGCCTTTATTTTGGTAGGAAACTTGCTTTTTTTTTTTTTTTAAGATTTTATTTATTTATTTGACAGAGAGAGACACAGCGAGAGAGGGAACACAAGCAGGGGGAGTGGGAGAGGGAGAAGCAGGCTTCCTGCCGAGCAGGGAGTCCGATGTGGGGCTCGATCCCAGGACCCTGGGATCATGACCTGAGCCGAAGGCAGACGCTTAACGACTGAGCCACCCAGGCGCCCCGGAAACTTGCTTTTGTTGCTAGTTGCCTACTATATTCGCTAGTTCTCACTCCCTTTATAACAATAACCCAGTGACTGCTTTCTAGATATTTACTAAAATCTTTAGATATGCCAAGAGAAGAAACCTATTTGCTAATGCACATGCCAGAGTTTTGTTGATCCCCAGGTACAGACTCTTACACAGAGCTCTCTCTTTCATCAGGAGTGAGACAGTAACTGTAATTGCTTGCTGAGCATCTGGAAGTAACATTAATAAGGATGATAATAATGACCTCATAGGATGTATAATTTGGGGGATTAAAGAACATTTACAAGCTTATTGTGTCATAGTTAATGATGAGGTGCCAAGTTTTCTTGCCACCACCCTTCCCAGTGGTATTTCCTGCTTGGTCAGAGAACTAATTATAGTAAACGGTGCCCGTTCAAAGAACTTGCCCCATCCTCACGCATATGCTAGTATAAAGATACTAAACTGTTGTAGTGTTGTTTTCAGAGACAATTTATTAATGTTGTTTTGCATTTGTCTAACAAAATTTGTATAATGTAATCATTTAGTGTTTATTTTATTGTGTGTACCTTCTACTCAGAGGGTTGGCATTATTGTTCCTAACAGTGACGGATACAAGCAGATCATGCCTTATGACCTCTACCATCCCCTTCCTCGGTACGTAAATCAACCATCCTGATGCTAGAATTAGTAAATCAGCCTTCTGCTTCTTTTATATATCTATGTAGATGTAGACTGTGTGTTTTTCTGTAAAAGTAAGATGGTAGTATATTTTGCAACCCATCGTGAGCTCTGCTTCTGGATAGTACTGGGCTGCTCAGACTCTAAGCTTGTCATTTAAGAACCGTTTTAAGATAGGATCTTATGACATTGAAGCGGACACAGTCATTGACTCTGATTAGATACAGTGTATGGGTTATGTTGTGTCTTTGTTTCACTCCCTTTGTCCTCTTCTGTTTCTCTGCAGTAGGACCCTAGGCATTAAAGCCCTGTTGCTAACTCTTAAGCAAACACAGCCTGAAGTATTATCACAGTACCGCAAATGTGGGATTCCAGATGTCGTACTACTCTGCAGAGGGGCTTTAAAGATCCTCTTTGTGTTCCAAAGAAATTATAATTGTGGACCAAAAGGCAATGTTTTCCCATCCTTATTGTTCAGAACATTTGGGGGACATTTTTTTTTTCCAAAACATCCATTTCCATGTGCTGTGTTGCTTTTTTAAAGGACAGTCTTTTTTTTTTTTTTTTAACTAGAAAAAAAAATGAAAGTGAGGAACTGTTAAGGGAACTTGTTCTCTTTATTGATATATTCATACGAAAACTGGAGAGGCTGAAAAATATGCTAGCTCCTGAGTGTATGGTCTGCCACACTGGAAACAGCTCCCCAGGCAGCAGAAATTAGAATCAGGCTTGACGGAAACCCTGTGCTAGGAGACGCCTTTGCTCACTTGGACTCTAGGATGGGAGTCCTCTTTGCTCACTTGGACTCTAGGGCATCAGCTGCTATCTGGAACCCAGAGTTTCCATCAGATCGCAAATAGTACAAATAACCCATGGTAGTTTTCTGAATCTCAAACTGAACAAAGTCTAGAAAATAATTTTATTCTGAACTGCAAAATAAAACAAAGTTTGATTGAAAATCTCCAAAAGCTTCATGAAGTGGAATCCAAACAGGGGCCCTTGAGGTCATTGAGTTCAGCTCCCCAGAAATGCTTCCCTGTCCTCCTTCCGAGCAATCACACCTTTACACCCTACATTTATACACGTATGTGTTTACACAAATATACATATATGTGTATTTAGTGCATATGTATTCCCACATCGGTATACACACAGACAGATATTTTGATTAATACATGTACAGCTTTGCACAGTGGCAGTATCGTAGCCAATGAGGTTTATCCGAGGCACGATTATTGCTAATAGATTAATACATGTACACCAGCACAAGCTGTCATCCAGCCTCTACTTAAATACTTCCAGTGACTGGTAGGGAACTCAAGTTTCACCATCCTAATGGGAGCATGTAGAGAGGGGCATTGGATTTATACTCCATACAGCTGTTTGGGGGTATTTTTTAAGTTCTTCCACTAAGGGGTTACCTTATTAATCAGCTCCCTCCCACTTTTCTATGTCTATATTGATAAAGATGATAAATGACTTTAGGATGCTACTGATAGATCATTTTGCTGGCTTGATCCAGAACCAAACGTCTATAGTAAATGCTTCTTGAAAAAAGAAATGGAATGAAAATATAACAAGGCTAATCTAACTGAACCAAGATTTCATTTGATTTCAGTTTCCGTATCTGTAGAATAACTATCCACAGGACACACGTATCTGTTTGTGGGAAGGCCATGTATTTTACAATAAAAGCAAAGTTGGGTGTCAGGGTGAGCAACGTCAAGTTTATGTTTTTCTTGTAATACCACTCCTAAGTTTCTTTCATATCTATGATCTCTCTTATTTATATTTCTCTGGTATGACTAATGCCTGTCTTAGGTTAAACTTCATTTCTTATACATCTGATTTCCCCCAAATGCCAAAAGCCCAGTATTCGCAATGATAGATTGAAATGAGCCTCCTTAATGTTATCCTTAATGTTATCCAATGTACACATTGGCCTGTCCATGCATCACAATGGAAAAGGGCAATCGCAAATAAACAGACTGTATTTCATACTCCTTGCACTTCTGTTACTGAGCTAATTCTAAAGTTAGATATTCTGCTTAATTGGTAAAATCTTAGTAAATGGAAGAATTTCTGCAAATATGTTTTTACAAGAAGACTGGAGTCTCTAAAATGACCCAAAGTTAAGAACTGAGGCTCAAAAATGATTCTCAAAGGGCAGCTACCTTCTGATCAAGGCAGAAGGCTTTTCGTATTGATTATTTAAATAGGTTTTAGACCACCAGTGTAGATACAAAGCCCAGTTAATGAATTTTTAGATTTTTTTTCTTGCTTTCAGTCTTTGGAACACATACGTGAACATAATAGAAGAATGGAGTCTTATTAATTCATAATTAAAATATACAAATTTTCCACATCACTCTTAATTTTGAGAATTTCTTAAACTAAACACACTACATGTTTAAAAAATTAAAGGCCATTGGAGTTAAAATATGTGATATATGAACTCATTTTTTATTCTTCCAGGAGAGGAATCTTGGATATGTGCTTTTTTCCCCGCTCCCCCCCGCCCCGCACCAAGCACTTACCTGGTCCTTGTTTTAAGATATTCTAACTGATGCCTTCTCTCAGCTTTTATTATACTTTCTTTGAAGCACTCAGACATGTTTTGCCTTGAAATTCCACATAACCCTATTATTATGTCAGGATTCACACAATAATTTTTCACATATAGAACTATAGTGGTAAGATGGATCCATACTAAAAATTCTTAGAATAATATTAGCATCATTTGTCTTTCCGTGATCACTGACACTGAAAAGGATACTTATTACTGTTTGTGAAATTACGCTATGGGTCAGGTCCAAATGTTGAGACAGAAATTAATCACTCTGTCTTTGGAAGGGTCAAGTTTAGGTACGTTAGAGTACCAATTAGGAAGTGTGCTCTTTTTATGGCATCTTAATGTTCTAAGAGATTAAATGTACATTCAAAAACATAGTCCCACTTCACTGTCAGATCAAATCTAACATGAATGTGTACTTATATATTCAGCCCGATTTCATTGGGAATCAGACCCATTATCCATATCCAGAGGGAAGCTCTCCAGGTATTTACATGGAGATAAATGAGAATTGGTCTTACCTTTTGGAAGAGAGGCCCTCTACAGAGCTGCTTCGTTCTCTTGAAAGGGCTCAGCAAGTCTCCTAAGGGCTAAAGAGAGGGCCTCAGTTTCCCCCAATAGCATTTTCTTTTGTCTCTCCTGGGGAAATATGCATAGGAAAATATTGTACTTGGCAGCATGTTTAAGCTGTTGGTAGTAGAGAGAACAGTTGTTGCCTAGACTCAAACAGTGCAGAGAAAATGTGGAGGAAAATCCTCTGTTAACTGGGAAACACACAGTATCCAGGCTCATGCAGAAGAGAAGTCAGGTTCCCAATATACATGAAATCCTACTTATGGGATAATTGATGTCTCCACGATATGCCCGTGCAATATATTTACATTTAACTTTTCAAGTAGATCAACTTGGTGACATTTAGTTTCTCTCTCATTAAAATTATCTCTCTCCTAATTCTAAGAGAAATCTTAAAGTTCCTTTGCATTCCTCATCCACAAGCAGAATATATGCAAGAAAGACAAGCTCAGTCCCAATATTTCTATTTTTAAAAATTCTACATTCTCTAAATCTGCAGGAGGAGAGAAAAGAATCAGGCAAAGATATCTCTCTGCATCTGGTCCCAAATGCTTCAGAGCTGTGTAGAGATCTAAAAAACCCAATGGAATTCTCTTAAATGTTATTGATAATATTATAATTTTCTCCCTTACGGAACTGTATCTTTAGATTCCAATGCCATCGGCCTTCCAACCCAAACCAAACTTTCTTCACAATTCCAATAGTTCTTTATCAGGGGAAAGCTGACTGCCAGTATCCCTCATCAGTTAGGGAATGAGAAGATAATGCCTCACATTACTACTTTTGCTCCTTAGTGTAATGATGGCCTAGTTTGAACATCAGAATTGTGCTGCACCCATGTAGTCCCAAAGCTGATGATTGTAGAAACAGGGGAGAGGGAATGAATGTTTGGTTTACCTTGATCATTCATGAGCTTCTCATGTAAAAGTATCCAGAAGCTAAGTGATAAAGTACTGCATTGAAAATAGAAAGTATTGGCTCAGGTGCAAACTATTAGCGTTAAGTGAGTAATCAGTTTTAATCTTGACAAAGATATTTAATGGGATTTAGTAAATATATATATAACATAGATACAGGATATATATTTACAAAGTATGAAATAATATAAATATTATACACAGAATATATATTCAAACTATAGGGAGAGGGACTGACTAGCCCTCTTTGGAGTAGGTTACAGACAGCATGGATAGCCCTGAGGACAGCTCTCCAAACAGTAATTTCTTACATTTGCTGAGAGCTTCAAGGTTTCCAGAGCACTTTTGCCAACATTGAATCTTTCACTCTCACTCAGCAGATTTTAGGCACTAGACGGCTTTCGGATCTCTTGACTGTAGCCTCGCAGAACCCGATTGCCACAATAGGCACTGGGAATGGGGTTGGTCGGAAAGGTCACTGAGGAGGTTTGGCAATGTGCATGTCCGCCCTGATGACTCCCCTTGCTTCTGTAGGTGGGAGGCCACCCCGTGGACCGCGTGCTCCTCCTCGTGTGGGGGGGGCATCCAGAGCCGGGCAGTTTCCTGTGTGGAGGAGGACATCCAGGGGCATGTCACCTCAGTGGAAGAGTGGAAATGCATGTACACCCCTAAGATGCCCATCGTGCAGCCCTGCAACATTTTTGACTGTCCTAAATGGCTGGCACAGGAGTGGTCTCCGGTAACTGTGCCCTCTTTCTTTGTTCATTAGGAGAGTAAGTCCACTCTTCCCTCTCATCGTCATGACCCCACCGGCTACCCTGTGCAGCTCCCCACTTCTCTTGAGGTGTACCGGGTTAGCTCCTGATGTAGGCACGCCCCAAATCCAGCATAGCCAAAAGTAAATGAGTAAATATGCATTAACTTCAAGTTACTTCGAGAAGCCTCTATCACTCATAACATTCCCTCAAGTGGCAAAGAGAGGCAAGTGTCTGTCAGGAGTCATTGAGGCCAAATGACTGATCCTGAATGTCCAGAAGCTGCTCTGATGATAGAGCTCAGTAGACCACGGTTTGGTTTTATTTTTTATTTCTTATACTTTGTCTACATCCAGAAAGGGTTTGAGTAGATTCCAATTAAAACTATCTGTATTATTCATTGGAAAAAAAAATATGAAATGGAAATGGCGAAATAATTAGAATGAGGATGAAGTAGGATAATTAAAAGCAGAACATTCTAGAACGTTAGGAAAACTGTTGCAGCAGCTTAAAGAATATGTTACTTGGGGTTTCCTGGCTGCTACTGCAGAAGGTTTGAAATGGCAAAAGAGATAGAAAGATGAGGAGGTAAGCCACTGTGCCCCGAGCCACAGAGACGACAAAAGACTTCTCACTTCACTATGTGGCTTTGGGGCAGCAGGATCAGAGCTGTGACGTTTCTCTCCATCTAGACTTGCTCCCTGGCGTCTAGAAGCACTGGAGGTGCCGTCTACATCTGGCCGTTGAATCAACTCCCTGAAACATTTTTGACCATGTCAGTATAATCAATTGGATCAGCCATGCTGCAATATAAATTTACTATGATGGCAGTTTGCAAAGTGTTAATGTCTATATGGGAGCTAGCAAAGTGACTAAATACAATTAAAATGCAGTGTTAGTGATCAAAAATGAGCACACTCTACAGTTTCTTTTCTCCTTTTCGCTGCTTGGTTTGGGACTTGGCACGCAGTGGGTGCTTAAGGAATGTTGCCTAACTAATCTAAATCTGAGAAACTGAAAGTGATTTAATTTTCAGCCAGCTTCACCCTAAATAGCCAAATAGAACAAAGACTCCATGAATGGTAAGAAATGGTACAAATCCACCGGGAGTCCTTATCTAAAGGCAGCCCTTTAAAGAGTCTCAGGTGAGAAACGAGGCAAAGTAAACAAGGCTTTGCTATGAGTCTCCTCTCTCTTGCATTCTCCTTCCAGTGCACCGTGACATGTGGCCAGGGCCTCAGGTATCGGGTGGTCCTCTGCATCGACCATCGTGGAATGCACACAGGAGGTTGTAGCCCCAAAACGAAGCCCCACATAAAAGAGGAATGTGTCATACCCACTCCCTGCTATAAACCCAAAGGTAACTCAACAGGTGCTCTGTTACCAGTCTTTTCATTGTTATGTGTCTTCGGGGACTGTTTGAAACTCCGTGGGATATTTTTAAATATCCCGAGTGTTCTTAGTAACTCTTTTGTGTAGCTTAGACTCTACTAAGCAGACTTAACTCTTTCTAAAAATCTTTCCACTCCTTTTGCTTGCAAATTGTTTTTAAGTACTACATATTTACATAATTCTCTCCTGGATCGTAAAGCTGTTTGAAGACTGTTGCTGAAAAGTATCAGCTACATCTGCTTAAAAGGAGATATTATAGAGATGTTGGAGAAATACGTGTGTGATTTACTAGTCACATTTCTTGCTGTTAAAAATAATGCAGTGAATCCAAGAGTGTCTACTTTGGGAAGCATCAAGTACATTAGGAGGCTTCATACTTCAAATTGCTGAAACAGAAAGGCGTTGCTTCTTATATTGATAATTAAAACATTAATACGAGACTAGATTCCAGAATCATAATTTGAAATGGAAATCTGAAATAAATCAGAATTTAACAGATACTGCAAATAATTTATAAAAAGCGAATTTTAGAAAATTTCTACTGAGTGAGGAAGATTTATTATAATTATACAGGGTCTCTCAGATTGGCATGCATGCTAACTGGACTTCTTTGCTGATATTGCTATTAGGGGCATCATCCAATGATATTGCTATCATCCATGTCAAGGAACTAGAAAATGCCAAAGTCACAAACCAATCAGAAGTAGAGAACTCCTTATTATAAGCTATCCTATTATCAATATTAAATATGATTCCCTTTTGCTTCTTTTTTTAATTATGTTCAGTTAGCCACTGTATAGTACATAGTTAGTCCCTGATACAGTGTTCAGTGATTCATTAGTTAAGTATAATACCCAGTGCTCATCACAGCACATGCCCTCTTCAATACCCATCACCCTGTTACCCCCTCCTCTCACCCTCCCCCACCGAAACCCCCCAATTGTTTCTCGGGGTCCACAGTCTCTCATGGTTCATCTCCCTCTCTGATTTCTCCCCCTTTGGATTTCCTCCCTTCCCTTTGCTTCTTAATTTATTTCTCTAACCATTACATTTCTCAGAAAATCAGCCACAGTGTAGCTCTTTATTTACTATAGGTTGCCCTTGGTGGGAGTGAATGGTGTCATGAAATCTAAATGATATAATGGAAATAAAAACAAAAATACCCAAAACCCTGATACATTGTAATAAATGCGTCTCTCTCTCTCTCTCTCTCTCTCTCTCTGAGACTCAGTGTCCTCATCTGTAAAATGGGGCTAATAATAGTAACTACCTCAGAGATCACGTGAGTATTACATGAGAAATAGTGCAGACAGGGTGCTCAGCTCACTGCCTGGAATATAGTCAGTTCTCCACACATGCGATCTTCAACTCCTGACTATCATCAGCATCCTCAGATGCGGGAGGAAGAGGCCACCAGTACCTCTGACAGGATCCGCTTCAAATAGACAATAAAGTATCGCAGGCCTAATAGTACCAGCTGAACGCTTCCTCGCTGAAACAGAAATGGCTCACCCTGTCAGATATGGCGAGGCTGACTGAGTCACTCAGTCGGGAGACGTGGGCTAGCTGTAAAATGATGTTTGTGTGGGTACCATGATCACCATGTTTAAGTGTTAGCAGATCCTTCTGGCCTTAGCAGTATTATATTTCTCACTCGCTTTGTTTTCTGACTAAAAGAAAAGGAGTGATGCCCCTAACTTAAAATAGTCAATTATTTATTAGCTCTGTCTTTACCAAGCCACTTCGGAGAAAGAAAAGCAGTTTGTGGTTAACTATCAAGAATAAAATCTGGATTTTCACAACTAAGTAGTGAGTCTGGCTCTCTAAACATCATTAAAATGCCATATAATTCTATGGTGTATGCATATAGAGACATATTTCTTTCATCTTTACAATTAGATGTCATAAAATGGTGATAGAGCTTCACTGGCTCATACTATAAAGGCAAATATGCCTATAAATGACCCTAATAAATGTGTCAAAATGGGAATCTTGGCACTTACTTCTGTAGGGGCAGTTAGAACCTCTGTCTTTCTTTTTCTCCTTCACAGTTTTTTTTTTTTTCCAGGAAGCAGTTAGGAAGCTTGTCCTGAATTGTGTGGCCAAAAGCTAGATAAATAGGTGACGCAGTCAAATTATGGGTTATGGGCCCTCGATTGCTCATATTCCAACTGTCCATGAGCCCTGGGGTGGCGCGGGATGAGTCAGAAATCTAAAGCAGTGTTTTGTGAATTTCAGAGTGGCAGTTTTGTTTGTTTGTGACAATATGGCGTAGATCACACTTCACCCAAAGGAATAAAGAAAAACATGTCAGAATTTATTAAAGGATTACAGTATAATTTATTGCACTTCATGTTTGTCTTAAAAGATAAATATTGTTCTATCTTTTTAACAGGAAATAGTGAGGAGATACTTTGATGACTCTTCATATACATGTCAAGCCAGTGTTCCTAGTTACGACTTTCATAATAAAAAAATTCTCCTTTGCTCTTCCACGTAATAAAAGGGAAACATAAAATCTAGTAGACTGGTATTACTAAACATTTTAAAATATTCTTTTTTCTTGATATAACCATCATCAGAAAGAGAAATTTACCTAAAAACTTATCATTTGTGGTTATCAACATGGTTTCTAGGTAGTGCAAAATCAGGAACTGGTGAGGAGATTAAAGAATTTCCCTAAAATTCCAAATTGGTTCTAACCTCTTCTCTTTTATATGCATGCACTTAATTCTCAGAGAAGCTTCCAGTAGAGGCCAAGCTTCCATGGTACAAACAAGCTCAAGAGCTAGAAGAAGGAGCCGCTGTGTCAGAAGAGCCCTCGTAAGTTTTATTTATTTTTTTAATTTTTTATTGTTATGTTAATCACCATACATTACATCATTAGTTTTTGATGTAGTGTTCCATGATTCATTGTTTGTGCATAACACCCAGTGCTCCATGCAGAACGTGCCCTCTTTAATATCCATCACCAGGCTAACCCATCCTCCCACCCCCCTCCCCTCTAGAACCCTCAGTTTGTTTTTCAGAGTCCATCATCTCTCATGGTTCATCTCCCCCTCCGATTTCCCCCCCTTCATCCTTCCCCCACACCGCTATCATCTTCTTCTTTTTTTTTTTTCTTAACATATATTGCATTATTTGTTTCAGAGGTACAGATCTGTGATTCAACCGTCTTGCACAATTCACAGTGCTCACCATAGCACATACCCTCCCCAATGTCTATCACCTAGCCACCCCATCCCTCCCACCCCACCCCCCACTCCAACAACACTCAGTTTGTTTCCTGAGATGAAGAATTCCTCATATCAGTGAGGTCATATGATACATGCCTTTCTCTGATTGACTTATTTCACTCAGCATAACACCCTCCAGTTCCATCCATGTCATTGCAAATGGCAAGATCTCATTCCTTTTGATGGCTGCATAATATTCCATTGTATATACATACCACATCTTCTTTATCCATTCATCTGTCAATGGACATCTTGGCTCTTTCCACAGTTTGGCTATTGTGGACAATCCTACTATAAACATCGGGGTGCACATACCCCTTCGGATCCCTACATTTGTATCTTTGGGGTAAATACCCAGTAGTGCAATTGCTGGATCGTATGGTAGCTCTACTTTCAACTTTTTGAGGAACATCCATACTGTTTTCCAGAGTGGTTGCACCAGCTTGCCTTCCCACCAACAGTGTAGGAGGGTTCCCCTTTCTCCGCATCCCCGCCAACATCTGTCGTTTCCTGACTTGTTAATTTTAGCCATTCTGACTGGTGTGAGGTGGTATCTCATTGAGGTTTTAATTTGGATTTCCCTGATGCCGAGTGATGTTGAGCACTTTTTCATGTGTGAGCCCTCGTAAGTTTTAAAACCACAAGATGTTTTGCTTTTGAAACTGACTGGTTTTAAGAACGTAGTGTCTCACTGAATGTGGCTTCCCTGGGTTTTGAATCAGGTGTAATCCTCTTGCCAAGGGTCAAAATGAGCCTTTGGGGCTCTCACATTGGAGATTTATCAGTTCCTTAGTGTTTCTCAAAACGCGTGATTGCATTTTTTGCTCTCTAAATACTTTTCAGTTTTGAAGTAAGAAAATGAAGGGGGAGCGTCTCCCCCTCTTCTCCAAAATCTGACCTCCTCTTTTCTAAGAGGCGAAAGGTGAGAAGGCCCAGGCTCCCTCTGATGATGTAACATAGATTTGATGTGAAAGTCTGGGCAGCTTTTCACATTCCTTATATCCCAGCTTTGCAGTATAGCCACTCACAAAAAGTAAAGCGTAGATAAAATGTATCTGCGGGCAAAGGAAGTATATTAGCTTTTCTTCTCCCTTTCTTGCTGCGATTGAGATCAAATGGACACCAATCTTTGCCGCACTTGATCACGGTCCCTTACCTGCTCAGTTTTATCAAGGCCATGAAATTTGCAAGACTAGCAGGCATGGATTTTTCAGATGCTTCAAAAGAGGAAACAAGGAAGAAAGACAAACATTGAATGATTGATTGATTGATTAGTAACTATATATCAATTGTACTAGATACGTATATCTGTTGCATCATTTTTAAAAATAAGGGAAAGCACTTTAATGATCAGTTTCATTTATGATCAAAGCAGTTTCTCAGAGTGAAGATTTTCTGGATTAATTTATTTAATATAAGCCCTAGGCTCTGTGCTCTGCATTGGTGCATAAGACATGTTACTCACCCTCCAGGAGCTCAGAGTATAGCATGTAAGGTATGAAATGGTTTCCAGATTCAACCCGTAGTTTAAATTTCATCAGAGATATAAATTAACAGTGTAATCTATATATTCAAAAGCAACTTAGAATTTTCTCAGATCCATCCTGTTTGGATCTAAATCTGATATGGTGTGCCAGACCACAAATTGTGTCCCCGAATCACACCTTCAACAGCAAAAGATTGAAAAAGAATTTCAAAATCCAGATTGCTATGACCAAAGTTCATTTGTAAAGAAATGCAATTTGTTTTTCAGTCACTTGGTTTCACGTTAGGCAATGCATTTCTGGCTTAAAAGGACAATAAGCAAAACCTACATTATTTTTGTACTATGAAGTTACCACAGCACCTTTTTCTACTTTTTGAAAAAATGACTTAAAAAAAAAAAAGCCATTAACCACCACAGAACTTTGGAGGAAAGTCAGTGTTTAAAGATCACAGTGCAACCTTTACATGAATATATGAAGGCTTAAAGCTTTTTGTTTCTCTCCTGCTAGTACCTGGCTGGACTGGCCTCCTTGCTGCTAGAAAGGAAGTAAGCAGTTTATTTTGGAGGGGGATTAGCTCTTTATCCACTAAGGTCCCATTTAAGGCACAGAAAGATGCCGTGTAATTGGAGCTAGTTGTTCCTTATACGTATTCTTAGGTTAGATACATTTAAAACCAGACATGTATTATTCTACTTAAATAAACTCTGCTCTCCTGTACACAATATTTTGTCATTTGGTCTAAAGCATAATCCTATATACAGTATCACATTATAACCGATGCTAAATCATAGAATAAAGTTGAAATTAAATCAAAACATCTTACATCAATAACTTAACATCTTTCTCGTTATTAGATACCTCTCAAATGAAAGTATTAAGTGGAGTTTAATGCCCCTGCAGAAAGATTACATAGACCCTTGTCAACCATGTTTTGTAACGAGCGTTTTCCACTAAAGGTCTGATTAAGATGCATTATGTTTAACTTTAATCTTAATAAAATCCCTCAAGTAGCTAACCACATAGTTTTCACCATTGAAACTATAGCCATATATTAGATTATTAAATTTTACTCTTGGTATAATGGAATTGCCATCTTGGCATGATTAATCTGAATTGAAGTAGATTGTAATTGGAGCGCTGGTGCCAGGTAAAGGAAATGTATACTAATACGCTCAGCACAATAATTACTTTTATACCAAAATGAAATAAGTGACAGCTGTAGAATAATGTAATGAAAGGTATATGGTTTCCACATCTTAATGCACTTTACATGTTTAGCGCACTGAACCCTAGGAAAGGTCCTACATGTCACATTATTTTTTTACTGATTTTGAATTTAAAAAACATAATTTTGCATGGTCTTAATTCTTTCTTTTTTAAACCACATAGACTAGTTTCTAAATGTATGCGGCAACCTATAATTACTCTCCAAAGTATAATGAAAAAATGATATACTGTCAGCAAGTCCTTCCTTCCCCCCCACCAAAGAGACTCACATTGCTTAAATTAAATAGTAATGTTTAGAAACTGTGGCCGTCACTTCTGAGCTGCTCGGAGAAGCACGAGTCATGGTCTAGAACTATTATCTCTCACTTTGGCTCCAGCTAACAGACTTCTGCAATAAAAACAGTAAATATCATTTATTTCTCCTGATGTAAAACAAAAATACTATCACCAGCCTGTCTCATTAAACAATATAGGAAAACCAGTAGCTTAAAATCTTTAGCATATGGAGATACTGTCATTGAATATTAGATGGCTTGTGATAACGCCAAAATGAAAAAAATAATAATAATTGATTAGCACTCTGGCCAGATATGTTGGAAAGTAACCACTCTAAGGTATGTTTAGAAAAAAAACTCTGATTAAAAAGTAAACACTGGGGCGCCTGGGTGGCTCAGTTGGTTAAGCGACTGCCTTCGGCTTGGGTCATGATCCTGGAGTCCCGGGATCGAGTCCCGCATCGGGCTCCCTGCTCAACAGGGAGTCTGCTTCTCCCTCTCCCGCTCCCCCCCTTGTGCTCTTTCTCTTTCTCACTCTCTCTCTCAAATAAATAAAATAAAAAAAATAAAAAATAAAAAAAATAAAAAGTAAACACTGAACTTCCAAGAAATAACTAAAACTTTATAGAACAGAAGTGTGTACCGGTATGGTTGTTCCACTGAGCCAAATGCCATGCAGAAGATACACATGCAGATATCAGCCACATAGAATACCTGAAATAGGGTGCATGAGTGGCTTGGTTAAGCCGCTGACTTCGGCTCAGGTCATGATCCCAGGGTCCTGGGATCGAGTTCCGCATTGAGCTCCCTGCTCACTGGGGAGTCTGTCTTCTCCCTCTCCCTCTGCCCCTCCCCCCTGCTTGTCCGCGCTCTCTCTCTCTCTCTCACTCTCTAATAAATAATATCTTTAAATAATAAATAAAATCTTTTTAAAATCAAAATAAATATATATATACATAAATAAATATAAATAAAACCTATTAAAAAGAATACCTGAAATAAGTATCGCGATTAGGTCACGTTATGGTAATGCCCTTAATATATTGAATTCATTGTATAAAGCTGCAGCTTTGTTCAGAAATACTTTTAGACGTTGACTATTTTTTTTTTCTAGCAACAGACGGGTTTATTTATGATGTATTTGATTCATATGGTGCAAAGGTGGGAATATTGTGGTGAATATCTTTTCATAATATTAAAAAAGTATTTCCTAACCTTCTTGGGAGAGTCATAACCTCTAAATTGATTTTTCACTAGTGGCCGTGGTTTGTCTTGATCCAGGCACATGTTTGGTTTTTTGGTTTTTTTGTTTTTTTATGTTATGTTAATCACCATACATTACATCATTAGTTTTTGATGTAGTGTTCCGTGACTCATTGTTTGTGCATAACACCCAGTGCTCCATGCAGAATGTGCCCTCCTCAATACCCATCACCAGGCTAACCCCTCCCCCCACCCCCCTCCCCTCTAGAACCCTCAGTTTGTTTCTCAGAGTCCATAGTCTCTCATGGTTCGTCTCCCCCTCCGATTACCCCCCCTTCATTCTTCCCCTCCTACTCTCTTCTTCTTTTTTTTTTTTTTTAACATACAATGTATTA